CCCAGCTGGGCCCGTCCTCTTCAGCACGGCCAGTTGTTTCTCTCTTCGAGGGACAAGCGTTGACCCTAATCCTTCTGCCGGCTGCATCCCATCCCAGTGCAGGCTCTTTGCAGGCTCTGATGCCCGGGTCGGAGAGGCCGGAGGGGCCCAGCTGCAGCTGAGCTGCTGGGAGCTCTCTGACAGGGTTAACGACGTGCTCCTTGTTTCCCGAGGTGCAGTGCTGTTCAGAAAAAGAACCCCGTTAAGACCAAAATAGGTGTGCAAAGAGCTAGCAGTTGACGCGCTGCAAATGAGGGGCCTTAAGATCCAGAGAAAAGCAGCTGAGTTGTAATCCCCGAGCTGAAGCCTGGGAGTCCTTTCAGCAAGCGGCGTCGGCCTGTCATCTCCCCCCTCAGCCAGGCAGGAAGCAGAGACCCAGCACCTGCACCGGGACCCAGGACCATAGCACGACCCAGCCGGAAATACACCCTTGTTGGCAAGCCAGTGGCAAGGAGGAGCTGCGTGGGCACTGCCCCAGTTGCTCTCTGATGCCAAGGCTTCCTTGGAAGGGGCAGGTTTCCTGCCTGGATATACGGACGTATGCAAAAGAGCCCCTGGGAGATGTGGCGCCTGCCCCTTCAGCGATGGCCGTGCACGTTGCCTTCCCATGCACTGGACAGCTCTGATGGGCATCAGCCTTCGTGCCAGAGGGGTTCGCAGGGCACCAAGGAAATGCAGCCCCCTGTTCCCAGCAAGTGGAGGACGGGGCCATGAGGGCTTTATCGCTCCCCTGCCACCCCCTTATGCAGCTGGAAGTGGCTGGGATCGCTGCCAGCTCGGCCCAGGGGGCTCCGTGGTGAGCAGTGCTGCCCATCCGCCCCTTAGAGATCATCACCCTGCGTGCAGTGACGTCCCTGTGGCCCCCGAGCACAGAGCTGGCCGGCGGTCCCTGTCCCCTGGAAGCAGTGCCAGAGAGGAGTCACCTTCCCTGGCTCCCGGAGCCCCAGGCACGCTGCCAGCAGAGCCATTTCATCTGCTCCCTCAGCAGTAATCCCTCCTTGGTCCATCCTCGCGTCCGCCCGGGACCGCTCAAGGAGAGCAGTGCGGCAGGGCCCAGCGGGCCGGGGCTTCCCCTCCGGCATCAGCCCTGAGGATGCCAGCCCGGGCATACGGCGCTCAGCCTGGCCCCCCAGCGCCGTCATGTGCTCCCAGCTTTGTCACAAGGTAAAGGAGCTTTCCCTCCTCTTCCTCTCCAGCTGGGCTTCTGGGCCATCTCCAAGCGCTCTTGGTCCACGAGCTGCTTGACGGGGCCCTGAAGCCTCCCTGGCCCAGAGCTTGGAAAGACGCTGTGTGACTCACCCCGACGGGGAGAGAGAGTTGTGTGTATTCAAATGCGCGCGGCTCAGCGATTGCCATGTCGATGCGGCGTGGTACCGTCGGGGCATCGCCAGCCCAAACCAGGCCGTCGGGCTCCCCACACCCATAGCGCCTTGGTGCTTCCTTTCCCTTCCGGTCGCGGGCGAAACCCCGGGGCGGGCTCGGCGCGTTCTCTCCTAGCAGGGCAGGCCCGTCCATCGCGGCCCATTCGCTCGCCCAGGGCCTGGGGCAGCCGAGCGGGATGCTGCCCCGGGTGCCAGGACCAGCGCCGCTGGCCCCGGGAAGGGTGTCTGCTGTGAGCCAGGACCTGAAGACGCCACGTGGGAGGACGGCGTGGTCTCTCCTGGACCTCGCTCCAGTTCTGCAGCTGGGAGCCTGCCGCCGCCGCCACGTGCCCTCCGTCAAGGGGAGCGCTCTCCTCGCTGCCCGAGGCCGGGGACACCTCCGACAGCCGCTGGGAGACCTCATCTTCCCCCTTGGGGACTCCTCACGGGCAGCACGGATGAGATCCACATCTCGCAGCGCCGATCCCTCTCTCCTGGCCGCCGTCCAGCCCTCAGGACCTTTAGCAGCCAAGGTCCCCCCAGGACCCAGCGTCTCCACAGTGCTGCCCCTGCGGCCATCCCACGTCCCTGCCACAGGCTCCGCGTTGGGACGTTCCCCGGCCTTGCTCCCTCGATGCCGTCAGGAAATCCACACCAGCCGTCACCTCTGCCGCCCAGGTGCCTTGCTCGTCTCCTGCTCGCGGGCAGGTGCTCGTTCCCGCTCGCTGGCTCCAGCTGGGGCTAATTAAGCAGCTCAGTTCTGGGTCGCCTGCTCCCGAGGCTGGCGCCGCTGCGAGCTGCCTCCGTGCCCTGATGAGAGCCGCGGGGCTGCGCTCTGGGCTCTGCCCCTTCCCCCGTCGCCGGGACTTTGGCTGCGTTCCTTGGTGCGCTCCCATCCAGCGTGAAGTCTCGTCTGCTTTCCCCCGGATACCAGCACGTAGCGGCTTCCCCTTCCTCGGTGCAGTTCGACCTGTTCAGCAAAATGCCCTGGCAGGGTCTGGCTGAGAGCCCGCAAAGGAGCCCGTGGCTCATGTGTTCCCCCCGCCCCGAGTCCTCGGTGGTGTCTGGAGGCGGGAGGGACGTCGCCTCTTCAGATCCTCTGGGCAGCTCTCTCTGTCATGGCCCGAGGCTGCAGCAAAGTGGGTTTAGGTGGAGATCGGGACAGACTTCTCCACTGGCGGAGCAGGGAGGCCGTGGGAGAGATGCCAGGGAAGGGGGGACCCTCCATCGCTGGAGGGTTCAAGGAGAGGGTGGACGGTGCTGGGGGGATGCTCCAGGCGCAGCGATGCCCGTGCTCTGCTGTGGGGTGTCCCAGCTTCTGGGCTGTGCTGGTTGCCCCCACACCCCTGTTTCTGCTCCACGTGTCGCGGGGGTTTGAAGCCTCCCTAGAGGCGCTGGTGCTGCTGCAGCCCAGGCTGGGGATGGGACAGGGCTGGGCCAATGCTCCTGCTGGCACCAACCCCGCAGGGTCCTGGCGGGAGGGTCTTGCCCCCGCGCTCAGGCTCAGCCCCATGCTGCGCTGGGGCAGGAAGGGATTTCCCCCCTGCTCAGACTGGTCGCACTGCCTGGGCCTGGGCTCCCGGCAGCAGCAGCAGCACGTTGGCAGCCACGGCCCCCCTGTATCCCAGGGGCAGGGTTGGGGGCGATGCCTGGGGCTGTGTCGGGGCGACTGTGTCGTGCAGCTCCAAGGTCAGACACGGGTTTGTCCGGGCTGGTTTGGACGGGGCTGATCCTGCCTCAGGCCGGGCTGGGACTGGATGTGACCCTGCGGCTCCAGGACTCTGCGATTCCTTCTGAGCCGGCTGCTAGAAACCTCCTCCTGCTCCTCTGCCCCGGGGTGACAAGCAGCGGGGAGATGGTCCCAGGTAGGTGATCCATCACGGGTGAGTGGCCTGGGTGAGCTGCAGCCTGGGCGTCCCTCCGGGGTCTCTGGTTTCCAGACAAGGTGGACGCTGCTCCAAGTCGGCTGCTGGCATACGGGGCCAGGCCAGGCAGGGACCTTGTGCCCGGCTCAGCTCCTTTATCCCGGCAGCTGACTTCTCCCGTGCTTCGGGTCCCGGCGTTCTCGGCAGGGGCCATCTATCATCAGGCTGCGGCTCGCCCTGGTGCCCTGCTTGCCTGTCATTTATGGTGCTGCTCCCGGGTCCCTGCTTGAGCCCTTGACGCCGTCCAGTCTGCAGATGGGTTCTGGACCCCCGCTTCCCCTTCACGTCGGTTTGTTGCCTGAGAGCAGTTGCCCCGAAGCCAGCGCTGGGGTGGCCGAGAAGGGCCCTGACCCCACCGGTGTCCTGGCAGGGTCTGCAGGGAGCCGGTGCCCACTTCGTCTACCCCAGTCCAGCTCCGCAGCTGTGTCCCTTCCCACGCAAGGCTCCAGCCGCCTCACCCTGCAGGGGCAGGTGACGTGGGCTGGCCCCCAGCACCTCTCTGCAAACAGCACTTGCTGCACAGAACGGCGCCGTCGAAGCAGCCCGGCCTCGGGACGCTGCCAGCCGACGAGAGCCGGCAGCTCGTTAGTGTGTTCACGCGCGCGTGCACGGTCCCAGCGCGGAAGCCCAGTGCTGCTCAGGCCTCCGCAAAGCAGGCATCGAATGAGCAGCGGGTCGGGGGTTAACGTGGGCGGCAAACGATGCTCCCAGTTCCCCGGTACCGCTACGCTGACTTCGCCGTGAAGAGGAGGGGAGGCCGTGGCTCGAGCAGGGGAGTTAGTCTATAAGGTGCGTGTCTCTCCCCACCTGGAAGAGACCTCAGGGCCCCCTTCTGCGGCGTCTGCAGCTCTCCCATATGGTGCGGCCGGGGGAGCCAGGCCCGGCATGTCTAGCTGCCAACACCCAGGAGGGTTTAAGAGCTGCCGAGGCCTGCCCAGGCCCTCTGGACCCACTGGGCAGAGGCAGAGAAGGACCCAGCTCCCAGCCTGCGGTGGCAGCTCCCCTCCGCCCCGGTGGGAAGCGGAGCAGCCTGCAGCGGTCACCCCGGAGCGCCTCGGGTGCAGTAAAGGAAGAGCGACGAGGCCGAGCGGCCGATGGCCTCTTCGACCAGTTCCTGGTCCACGTTGGGGCTCCTTGCGTCTGGTATCGGGTCGCCCAGCGAGCGGCGAAGCCTGCTGCTCCCGCACGCCTTTGCGCTGCTGTAGCTTAAGTAGAGCTTGGCATTATCTCGACCGAAACCTCCACACCAGGCGCCCTGTTTGGGGCCCGCGCTCGGCCTGGCTGTGCCAGGGCCGTGAGTCCAGCTGCTCCCGGGGGATTCTCGCCTCTTACCTGCCTGCCCCGGGACTGTCCGCCGGCAGCAAAGGGCCCATGCTAATGGCATCCCCCTGCGGCAGCAAGGCGGTCCGTCCCCAGCCCCGTGCTCCTGGATGCTCATGGCCAGCAAGCACAAGCTGCCCAGGGTGGCAGGAGCAGCGGGGCACCACGATGCAGGGCTGAGCACTGGGGGGTTGCGGGGCCGGGGCCCGCGATGCCAGCTGGCCTGACAGTTGCATGAGTCGGTGGTGCGAGACGATGCCGGGGTGCGGTGGGAATACCCTGAACCCGGGGCCGGCTCTCGGCTCCCGCGCGTGCCGGCCCCCGCACTCACCGCCGCTCTGCGCCGCCCCGGCAGGTGCTGGAAGTCGTGCGCTCCAACTACGACACGCTGACGCTCAAGCTGCAGGACGGGCTGGACCAGTACGAGCGCTACTCTGAGCAGCACAAGGAGGCCGCCTTCTTCAAGGAGCTGGTGAGCCCCCCAGCGCCCCCCCCCC